GTATACTTACCAAATAAATAAAAAAAAGAAAATGATGCGTTGCAATATCTAACAAATTTCTCTAAGATCTTATGTGTATCATGTCACTATCTCTATTAGCAATTGACTGTTTATCTCGGTCTCAAGGCAATGGATATCATATTAGTAGACAAAATATTTTGTTAAAATAAAAATCCCTTGGATATCACGTTATAGGCAAAGATACAAAATTCAGCAATTGAAAAATGATTTAACAAGTGTCTTAATAATAGAGAGAGAAATAGTACTGGGCATATGTGAGATGACGTTGTATATTTTGCCTAATGTGTGAAAACAATGCGGAGAGACTATTCTACCCTCTTTTTGTACTTCCCTATACTTGGGAACGATTCTTACTACGGTGTTGATGTATTTGGCTAAAAAAAAACGAAAAACAAAAAGGGGATGGGGGATGAGGCTAAAAGTAAGAACAAGTGAAGGTAAAGGCTTATAATAAATATTACTTTATGATTATAGAAGAGTCTGATAGTGATCAGCCTTTTATTGCTTTAAAAGGTCAAGTGGGATGTTAAATGAATCAATAACAATATGTCTCTATAATGTTGCACCCCTCTATCGTTTATCAATATCTTTCTGTAATATCGCACTTCAATCGACTCTCTTAAATGAGAGCAAATTTAATACTCAAGTATGTGATAAACATATGAATCAGATAGCTCTTTTTTTTTTTTTTGATAAAAAACAGATAACTCTATGATCAGTTAGATTTGTCACCAACCAGGTTATTAGCTAAATATTGAAGGCACTGATATATTCACGAAGAAAAAAAAATTATTACAACGCACGAATAAAAGAATGCCAGAGCATGATCTATATACAAGAAAAAAACAAAAAAATTCAGGCATGAATAGTGAAAATATACTGGTGTGTGGGTGGATGGTAAATAACAGATGCTATACCATAAAAAAAAATAAAAACTCCAGGATATGAGAGAGAGCAGAGTGTGGCTGCAACAAGATAACTAGATAATCCAGAATTTCTAGTTGGTAAAGGCAAAAATATGAATGTGCACAGAGAGGGTAGCCTTTGGTGCTGATAAAGCAGATGATTAAATGGTGCAGAGTTATCCCTAGGTCACTTGCAAGGAGATAGTTGGGTAATAGGCGCCAATAAGTAAGTAGGCAATGGGTTTCCTGTTGGTCAAAAGGCTAGAGAGAGAATACAGATTATCGTGAAAAAAAAACGTGATAAAGGTTCTTCCTTTTAGGTTAAAAGCCTATTGAGAAGAAGGAAGCAAGGATCACAGTTAACCTATTACAGCGAGATATAGATATAGCAAAAAAACACTGTGTTTTAAGAGAAACAAGCTTGCTGTTGGTTCAACAAATTAAGACATGAAGATGAAACCTAGCCCGTGATCGACCAAAAGAGAAAAGAACACTTGGTTCGCTTTGATACCAATGTTAGTAAAAAAAATTAATGGAGTGCGGATGAGACCAAACCCGAGATCAGAAGAGAATTAATGGAGTGCAGATGAGACCAAACCCGAGATCAGAGGGGGGATGCCGTGAGGCTGGTGATTGTAGAGCCAGGATTTTAATTAAAAACTACCCAATAGAGAGAGAAAGATCACTTTGTAGAGGCTATATAAATTTTCCGTGTTTTTTCCTATCTCTTTATCTTTGGTTTCCCATATTTAGAGGGAGAAGATGGGCCAACATTCATCTTTCTCCAATGCATCTCTGATAAGAAGTCAATCCAACTCATCTATATGAACCTTGGAGAAAAGAGCTTTATAATATAAATAATTATTTATAATTTTATAAATGGATAATTATAATAAAACATGGGATTCCTCCAAGCACACAATCGTAAGCAAAACCACGTGAGGCCTCATGACCATACGTGTCAACATACCCAATCGATTCTCTACTTTTATTCATTATTATCAATTTTTTTAGGGTTATTGCGAGCAAAAAGAACATCCGCCAAAGCTTCAATTTCTATCTCATTTCTTAGTTTTTATGATTTTTTATTCTTGTTGAAGCTTTTCAAATCCCCTAAAGAAGCCTTAAATTTATTTTTAATTTTCTTGCTCAAATCTAAGCATTTTAATTGCTTAACAGAGGGACCCGTGAAGAACTAGTAAAATCTGCCATCTTTGAATATCTCTTTCATTGCTTAGTTTTATTTATTTATTTCTTATTGGTTGAAGATCTTCGAATCATCTACAAAATCCCTAAATAGATCTATTTTATTTGTATTTTTTATTCTTTCTCTAGATTGTGATTTCTTTATTTAATATTATCAGTATTTTATTCTTCTCTGTTTTATGTTTTCTGAGAATATTGAATTAAATTCATATGAATAGGGCTCATACTTTATTTTGGTGCTGATTTTATAGTGCTATGGCAAGAAATTATTGTTATCAGCATGTGATTTCTAGATTGTGATTTATTTATTTAGTGTTATCAGTATTTTGTTCATCTTTGTGTTATGTTTTCTGATAATATTGAATTAAATAGACAGGGTTAAGGTTCATAATTTATGTTTGGTGCTGAATTTATATTGCTATTGCAGGATATTATTGTTATCAGTATATGATTTCTAGATTATGATTTATTCATTTAGTGTTATCTGTATTTTATTCATCTCCATGCTATGTTTTATGAGAATACTGAATTAAATTCATAGGGTTAGGGCTCATAATTTATTTTAGTAATTAGTGCTGCATTTATAGTGTTAATTTCATAGTTCAATGAATATTTTAGCATTCTATCTAATCAATGCTCATGGATACAACTTGATTATTTGTTTGTTCTTCGTTACATAGAATTGGTGAAATGATTTCCTTGCAAGTGGAAGTAGAGAGGGCAGCATAAGCCTTGTCTTTGGATGCAGTTTGCACTAAGACTTATTTCTTATTAGATCAAGTGCATCATGGTTCTTTGCTACATGTTGGATCCTGGGGTTCTCTCAGTTTTAAGTTTTGATACATTGTAACTTGATTTTTTTGATGTGGTGCTCGAATGGAATATGGTTATGTTTTGGGTTATTGATCATTGGGTAGGTAGGTGAAAGTGCTTTTGTGTGTGTGTGTGGAAGGAAGAAGTTGTTGAGCAGGAGATGTTTTCTCTCTCTAAAAACTACTGGGTTTTTCTGTCTTGTTTAAAAACTAATATGTGGTTCTCTCTCTCTCTAAGAGAAGTAGTTTTCTCTCTCTAAGTGCTAGATGATTTGTATCGCTTATTGGGTTGTAGGATAAGTGGGTTTCTCCCTCTAAAAACTAGGTGCTCTCTCTCTCTCTCTAATTTTTGGTTCAATTAGTTTTGGGGAGTTTGTGGATTGGATTTTTGATGATGGGTCTGGATTTGAATGGAGATGTGATTATGAGCATGGGTGTGAGCGATTGATGTTGAAAATGCTGAATCTTTGTTGGGTTTTGGTGATTGTTTATTGGAATTTGCATGAATATGAGAGAGAGAGATAAGCGAGAGAGAGGTGTTTTCTCTTTAGTTGAGAGAGAGACAGAGAGAGAGAGAGAGAGAGAGATGTTTTCTCTTTAGTTGTGAGTTAGAGCAAGTCTTGCTATTTCTGTGTTTGTCTCTGGTTGATTTCTCGTTCATTTGTGGGTATACGAGAAAGAGAATGTGTGTATGAGAGACAGAATAGTTGAGTATGAGTGGTTATTATTGAATTCTTATGAGCTAGAGAGAGGGAGAGGGGTAGTAGGATAAGTAGGTTTCTCTTTCTAAAAACTAGGCGCTCTCTCTCGTGTTGGGGAGCGTCAAAAGGAGCGATTAAAGTACGAATAAAGTAGTGGGATATGTTTGAAGGGTAAAATGGTTCTTTATCATATTGAAAATTGATATAAATTCGGATCTGGATGTTATATAAAATTTTGAATCCAAATTCAATTTGAATCCGATAGATACTATTTGAATCTGAATCCAGATCTAGTCAGATCCAGCCCTGATCTGACCTCTTCTCACCCCTACCTATGGAAATGAAATAATTATATTCTACGCTTTGATGGGATAATTATATTATCTTTGAATAAAAAATTCGGGCTACCTTATATATGGCTGTTTTTTCTTGTAGGTTTGTCTGCAATCTAGTAAAAACTAGTCAAGATTCTGAATTTTTTTTATCAAATATGCATATTGGTCTCCCTTCCACCTTAAGAACTATCTCAAGTTCTCTACCTTCATGATGGAAGGCCATTTGGATTATTTAACCTTTTTCTGATGTTCCTAATCAAATATCAAAAAAATGAAGAAAAATGGAACACTCTATGGATCTTACCAGATAAACGGAAAGTTTCATGAGGTGCCAAGTCAAAAACAAACGTCCCTTTCAAATTAACTGTAGTATTTTTTCTTGTGGGTCTCTTTTAGATGTATGCAGTATTTTGAAATCCGGATCAGTGGGACAGATTGGTTACCCACAGATCCATGTTAGATTGTTGGATCAGTGATTTGTATCGGTTTTAGATTGATTTGAATTGATAAGGATGAGGGTGAGGGAAGATGGGTTTAGGGGATTGTGTGGTTTATGAGGGAACTTGGCTGAGGAGCATACCATCTTAGAATCAGTTCAGTCCCGACCAATTCCCATCTAAATCAGAAATCCCCACGTTTCAAAACACTCAATAAACCAATCGATCATATTTCCAACCTTTTCTATCCATGAAAATCCTAGAATCATTTAATCTTCTACTTATTAATAGTACCTACAACCAATATATAGAAACTCTAACAACATAATTTATCTCCTATTCGATAGTCAGTTGACAGTTGAATGAAACATCCTATTCAAAACATTTATAAAATGAACCTCCCTCCCTGTCAACATTTCAAATATGAGATGGGCTCTCTCGCTCTCTAAACATTTCAAACATGACATCGGTTATAATCTCTCACTCTCTCTCTCTCATATATACAAATGAAATCATCTGCATATCTGAATGTATATATATATTCCCTCTCGTGTAATCAAAACATATCTTCAATTGAAATACTGCCACTCCTCAATTCTCAATATCTTCCTTTGAAGTCAGTTATGTAACCGCTTAGACTTCCCGCCTCTCTCTCTCTGAAACCACAAAGAATTAAACCTTAACTACTCATGAACCACCTTGCAATAATCAAACCCTTGCATCAATCTCTCTGCAAATATATTCACCTATGTACCCTTGTCATGACGAACCTTTCCAACATTTTTAAACTCTCTCTCTCAAAATTGAATGGCCATCTCTCGAACGTTGCAGGCTACAAGGGGAGAGAAAGTGTCCTATCAACGCTCCCCCCATTTAATACCATCAACCATTTCCCACCACCCTCACAATCATTGTTTCTCTTTCTCTGAAAAAACCAGAAGCGCCCGATTTAGAGAGAGAAGAGGAGGTAGAGAGCGAAAGGGGAATTTCCTCTTTTTGGGGTTTTTAAGGGACATGGGGTGCTCTGGTTTTAATGGGTTTTTGGTGGTTTTGATGTTGGTTCTCGGGGTTTGCAGAGGATCATCAAGCAATGCGTATATTTCTTGGGATGATTTGAGTTTGGGGGGTGGTTCTGATGAATTGGAGGTGGGGAAGAGAGAGAAAGGGCGAGAGAGAGTGATTGTAGTGGCTCAAGATGGGAGTGGGGATTCGAGAACGGTTCAGGGTGCGATTGACTTGGTTCCTCGTGGAAATTATCAGAGAGTGAAAATTTTCATCAAGCAAGGATTTTACAGGTATACTTGCTGAAGAAGGCAAAATCATGGAAATCTCCCTCTCTCTGCACTTTCAGTTTGTTCATAGTTTTCAATGATATGGGTTGGACATGAAAAGGAAACAGAGATGAGTTGTTTTCTTGCTTGGGTTTCTGTAATTTGAGTTGTGTGAAAAAATATGGAGAGAGACAGAGAGAGGGAGACAAGTGCTTCAATTTTCCATGCTCTGTTTTTTTGATAGTTTGGTACTGTTTTTTGCAGAGAGAAGGTGCTTGTCCCATATTATAAGCCATGCATCTCATTAATTGGGGAAAAGAGGTCTCGAACAATGATTTCATGGCATTCCAGAGCCTCCGATCCAGGACCCAATGGCCACATGCTTGGGACCTTTAATTCAGCTTCTGTTGCCATAGAATCTGACTATTTTTGTGCATCATGGATCACTTTTGAGGTATACAAATTCAAGTACTCTTTCTCTCCATCTCTACTGTTCCAGTTTTCAAAGTAATCAAAATCCCTCTCTCTCTCTCTCTCTCTCTGTATCACTGGAATCCCTGTTTTGAACTAACCAAATTCTCCCCACTCTCTCTATATCACTACTCTCCCAAATTTGAGCCCTGAGATTAATTTCCCCACAAGAAATTCAAAGCCTATATTTGAGTTATTGTTTCTCTCTCTAGAATACAGCTCCAAGCCCACCTCCTGGTGCAGTAGGAATGCAAGCAGTCGCACTGAGAGTTTCAGGAGACAAAGCTGTGTTTGCAAACTGTAGAGTTTTGGGGTCACAGGATACTCTATTTGATGAGAATGGGAGGCATTTTTTCTACCGAAGCTACATTCAAGGTTCCATTGATTTCATTTTTGGCAGTGGAAGGTCCTTGTATCAGGTTAACTCCTTTCCATTCTCTCTCTCAATTAATTTGTTGTTAATAAACTAATGGAGCTGAATCAGGGATGCACTCTTCGATCGACTGCTACGAGTTATGGGGCCATCGCGGCTTCACAGAGGAATTCAGCGACTGAGAATTCGGGTTTCGCTTTCCTGAATTGCAGATTGAATGGAACAGGGTCTTTATACTTGGGGAGAGCATGGGGAAGATATGCAAGAGTGGTTTATGCATTTTGTAACTTGGATGATATCATAATCCCCGAAGGATGGTATGACTGGGGTGACCCATCAAGGAGGGGGTAATCTTCTCTCAACTTTGATCTTCTGTGCTTTTTTTTTTTTTTGAGAGAGAGAGATTAGGGTTTTAATTCTTGTATTTTGTTGCTTTGATTGATTGTAAATAAATGTAGTTGAATTATCAGGACAGTGGTTTTTGGTGAGTACAAATGCAAAGGAAGGGGAGCAAATATGAAGAGGAGGGTGGCATGGGCCAAGTCTCTGACCTATGATGAAGCAAAACCCTTTCTTGGAAGGAATTACATTGATGGAAATCAATGGCTCGTGCTCTGATTTTTTTTTTTTTCTCTTTTTCAAATAGCCAAAAAAAAGAAAAAAGAAAATAGAGAAGAAGAAAAATGTAAAATTTCTGTTGTTTTTTATTTTTTTTGGGCTTATAAACGATTTTTTTGTAAAGTCAGTTTGGGTAAGGGGAATGATGGGTTTGTTACAGTTATGATCAGGGCCGTTCAAGTCTGCTTTATGCTTGCATTGCTATTGGGCCACGTGATACTCTCAGGACTACCTGAGATGAAATGGAATTTATGGAATTGAATATCAACCGTCTCCCCCTAGACCCTACCCTTCTAGACAATGAGTCCTCCTCCTCTATAGAATTTTAAATCAAAAATTTATTTTTAAGATGAATTTTAGAGCGGCCAACACGTAGTCAGGGACTCGTAGAAACCCATCCATTAGACAAGGAAAAAAGTTTATATAGATGCGAGGCTCTAAATAATCAAGATAGGGCGCACCTCAAAAATTTTACTAGAAGAGCGTGTTTTAATGCTCATATATCTTCAAATTGATCATCTCGACCTCAAGATGCATAGACATGAGAAAAAAAATGGATTTTAAGTTTTGGAAATAATGCATCTTGTGATACATTTTTGGACTGCAATTTTCAAGATTTTCTAGTTTTCATAGATCTGATTAATCTTCACTATTTTTGAAGCTTAAAATTTTATAATTAGTAATAAAAATATATGTCAAGGCTATTACAAAGATTTCCAGTATTGAAACCACATTTCTCGATACTTTGATTATTTAAAGCCTCGGCTTGACCTGTGGTTCTGTGGTATATAATGACATCTTCAACTTGCCACCCTGAAAAGAAAGAAAAAATTAATAGCACTTCATTTGCGCCAGCACAAAATAACATCCTAAGACTTATAATATGACCATCTAGTTATTTGGATGGTCAGGTCAAGATTTGAAACATCTTTATTTTTTAAAATGATGATATGGTATAAGTGAAAAACTCCCAAGCTGTATGAGCAAATTATAAAGGGATTGTATATCATGAGACCATTTACCTTTGATACAAGGTGGTTTCAATTACTTACAACTATCCGTTGTGAAATTTGATAGTTTGGGTTTGTCACAATGTTCAAAGAAATTTTTATTGAAGTTTGAGTTTGGTTAATGGAATAAATGTAGCCACTCAATTTTAAATCCCATGATCATGATTAATTGTGACCACCTTGTTCCAAAGGTAATTGGTTTCATTTTATATTTTTTCAATTATATATTTTATTTTTTCAAGTATATATTTTCGACTGAAAAATATTTTTTTTAATGGTTAGGAGGGAAAAATATTTTATCTGCATGAGGGAGACTACTATAATTGGATCAAATTTAGACCAGGTGAACCAATAGATCGTCTTTTGCCTAAAGCTTTTTAATGATAGTGATACAATCTACGAAATTGGGTCAAATAAATTCATTTTAGAGTCCCAACCAATTGATATTTTTCACCGCATTTACCCTTTCATCAAAGAAACTATCAATTCATTTAATATATTTCACAAACTTGTTCATCGAATATATGTGTCAAATTTGGAGATGAGTCAAATACCCCCAAAGCCCAGGCAAATCAAAATATTTTCCCAAATAAAAACTACTGTAAGGGAAAAAGCATTTCATCCATCCTAGGGCTGACCAATGTAGCATCCACCCTCCCCATATTAGGTGCCTTGGGGTTTATTTTCTCACTCCAAAACTGGCAAATACATTGGGATAAGGTTTATTCTAATTATTTGGGGTTGGCTACATGAATCTTGTTCTTTCATTTTTCTTTATCAAGGGTCATACCCTATTAAAACTGAAAGTCATAATATTTTCTCTCACTATTTCTATCTATGTCGTTTTAGGCCTTCTCTTAGCCCTTCTGAAGCATTCCACTTAAAATAAAATGTAACTCCTAACTGGTACTATATTAGGTCTATGCTATACATGACAACCCACCCGAGTCTACTTTATCTCATCTTATTGTCTATTAGAGATACACCTAAGTTATCTCATAGATATTCATTTTAAATTATATCTTTTTTTATCTTGCTACTCATCCATCTCAATACCATCATCTCAGCTATGTTCATCCTATAGATATGTTATTTATTGACCAACCAACATTCTGTCTCATAAAACATTGTTGTTCTTACAGCCGTTCTATGGAATTTTTCATTCAGTCTCAATAGTTTGCAGCATTTACATAAAACTCGGGATGCACATATCTATTTCACCCATCCAGCTCTAATTTTTTTGTGACATCTTCTTCAAGCTCTCCAGTCTCGAATATTATCGACCCTAAATATCAGAGACATTCTCTTTTACATATTTCTTGACCAACAATCTTAACTACTTCCTCGTTACTGCTCATATTGTTACTAAATTTGTATTACGTCTTAATCCGACTAATTTTAGAACTTTTAGATTCTAGAGCATGCCCCAATGTTCTAACTTTGTGTTGGAGTCACCTCTAGTCTGATCCATCAAAACTCTGTCAATCTCCTACAACCTACACTACAGTATCTCATGTTTTAGATTCTTAATTAACTCATCCATAATCAAAATAAAGAGTTATGGGATCAATGTTGAACCCTCAAGTACTCCCATTATCACTAAGAACTCACTTATCCCTCAACTAGTTAGTGCTCCCTCGTACATATTGGTTGGGCTTAATTTTTCATCGTTCCGGGTCGGCCCGATATGGATGACCTGGTCGGAGGAATCATCTCTCAAACAACTGCAAGGCCCACGCATGTGTATGTGCATGTGCATGTAGTGCAGATAGGAGCCAACAAAGAGAGATATTTTAATTGACAAAGAAGGGCTCGATTGCCTACCTCGTCGTTTAGGTTAGGGGGACGCATCCGAGTGATTCTCCTTCTTAAATCATTTTGAAAGCCCTTCGGCTGTCCTTGTGTAAGGACAGAGATTTTCTCGAGGTGTTGACGGTTAAGTTCGCGGCTAAGCGCATACGCTCTCTCCCTCAGTCACTCGGGAGGAGTCATCTTGAGGTGGTAGCCAAGAGGGATCCAAGTCTTTGGTTGCCTCAAGTGCCCGGATGTCCTGCGTTTGCGTGAAGGGAAAGGTTCTTGTCGTCCTTCTTCCATACTCTTCCCTTCCCCAGTCAGCCTTGTTTTAAGCACGAGAGAGAAACGTTGAAAGCCTGAAAAGAGTATGTGTCCCAACCGTGCTAGCGGACAGCCAGAGGGCTTCATAACTATTCTAAGAGGGCGAGCTGCTCGGGTGTGTCCCTGAACCCCAAACGGCGAGGTAAGCGTCTGAACGTATTCCGGTCATAAAATCTCTTTCCATGTTGGTTTCTATCTGCTCTCAAGAGAGCTCGTGTATGTGCACACGCAAGCGTGCAGCGTGTGCAGACCCTCCTCGATTGTTTGAGAGAGGATTTTCTCCCCGCACACACATGTGGGAGGACCAAAGAAAATCACGCCCCGACCACTGATTTCTCATCATCCCAGATCAGTCCGATATGGAGGACGTGGTCGGAGGAATCCTCTCTCGAACAATCGCAGGGCCCACACACATGTGTGTGCATATGTGTGTAGTGCAGATATGAACAACAAAAGGAGAGATTTTAATCGACAAAGAAGGACTCGAGCACTTACCTCGTCGTTTAAGTCCGGGGAACGCATCTGGGCCATTCGCCCTCTTAGATCGTTTCAAAAGCCCTCCAGCTGTTCTTACAGTGCAATTTGAATTCGGCCCCCTCACTTCAGTGCACATTACTCAGATCCACACACTAAAAATGGCCTTCAGGGTATACGTTTTAGGATCTCCTCCTATTGGTAATTATCTGGTAGATTTGGGGGTCTAGTCTAAAGGTTAGAGGGGTTGGGAGTGGATAGAGAAGAAGAAGTATAGAAGAGAAAGGGGGAAACTGACCGTGAAATTGGACAGCTTTCCAGTGTCACCTCTCCTAAGATGTATTCTCGGAGACAAGAAAGATACTGGGCTCGGAGGCCACATGTATCCCAGGAGATTCAAGAGAGTGTGGGCCGTAGTTCTAATCTATTGAGAGCTCACTTGCATAAAGGGAGAGTGTAGTATGTAGATCCAGACTATCGCGAGCTCACTTCCGTAAAGATCCCCTAGTGAGTAGCTAAGAATAAGATGAACAGTGAGATAAGAGATGCTATGAGAAAGGAGTAAGAATATAAAAAAGAGAAGGCCTCTCAAAACTCTGACATATTTCCAGTGTCCCCTCTTTAAGGAAGTAATTGGGAATGTCAGAAAGGTCCCTAGACTTCATGGTCAAAGTCAAGAGCACTCCGGAGGATTCTAAAGAGTGAGGTTTATAGTTCTAGGTTGCCGAGAAATCACGTCTAAGCTGGAGAGTGAGGCTTGTAGTTCTAGACTATTGTGAAATCACTTCAAAAAAGTCTCACAAGAACTGTCTGAATTTAGAAAGATAGATAGAGTATAAGAGAAGTAGAGTTATAAGAGATGAGAGAGAGATGTAGAATGCGAGAAAAGAAAGTAGAGAGTTAAGAGAGAAGGAAGAAGAAGATAAGAAGAGAGAATATAAGAAAGAAGAGAGTGAGAGAGAGTGAGAGAGAGTGAGAGAGAGTGAAAGAGATAGAAATCTCTCATAACTTGAACACTATGTAACCCGGTGGTTAGAGTAGTTCAAGGGTTCAAATTATAAGAAAGCTGACCCAGGATGACCCCAGTTTGAGTGATCGAGTGCAAGAGAATCTGTATCTGTTACAACTCAACAACACTATGTGAACTGATGGTTAGAGCAACAGTCTGAGGGTTAGAGCAACAGTCTGAGAGTTAGAACCCTAAGGCACTATCTGTTACAACCCTAAGGCACTATCTCAGGTAGACCCCAGCTCGAGTACTTAAAGGTGAGAGAAGAAGTGAATGAAGGGAGAGAATGAAGATCTTACAAAATAAAAGATGAGTGACAGAGAGATGAGACAAAATGAAAATAAGAGAATGAGAAGTGAGGGTGTGAGTAAAGCAGATTGAGTGCGAGGAGTTAAAGAGATGAAGTGAGTTAAGGAGACAGAGTGAGGGCAATTAAAGAGATGAA